GCCCTAGGCGCGCGAGTGGGCAGAGCTCCGGGCAGCCGTCAGGCCGGCTCCGTCACTGTCCCGTGCTGCTTCTGTTGACGCGGTTATGGTCTCGGTTCTAGACAGCTTTCAGGAGTCTGCTCGGCTAGAGCTCAGTGCCGTGCTACTGTAAAGACGGGAGAGCAGGACAGCCTCACAGCAGAAACCCTGCCCCCAGCTGTGGGGACGCAGCCAGACCCAGAAGGCCCCCCGAGCACGGTGCCCGGGCCCTGACCTTAGGCCTGGGGGCTGCCCTTGGGGCCTCCATCGGTGTCACCTAGGCCCAGCTGCGTCTCTGCAGACGAGTGTGAGATTGTTTGCCTCTTTTTTAAAGACATGTAAGTCTGACCTAGATTCGGGGCCTTGGTTACATGGTGAGCACAGGACAGGACTCTGACTGCGCTGTGTGCAGAGCCCATCGCCAGCAGCATGCAGATGATTTGTGGGTGCATTAAAAGGTTTTGCAGAATGGAACAATCCATACCCAGGCACTTTATTTTCAGTAATAACCCAGCATTTTTGTTCAGACAATGGAGTAACCCAAACACCGGGCACTTGATTGTGATGGTGGCCAGACCGAGAGTTGCTGTGCTCAAAGCGGGAATGGGGCTCTGCCCAGGGCCCGATGTCCCCCTCTGGCTTAGCGGAGTGAATGTAGCCCAGGCCCTGGGCCAGGAGGATGTGGGCAGCCGGGGGAGGCAGGACTCCCCTGCACTCTGCAGCCAGAGCAGAGCGCCGGCGGGGGGCCCCCGTCTAGTGGCTGGGGGGGGGGGGGGGGGGGTCCCCGTCTAGTGGCTGGTGCGGGGGGCTGGGCAAGTAGCGTCCAGCACCCTGAGCAGCCCAGTGTTGAGGGGCCGCGCCCCGCCTTGCCTGTCATGTCTGCGTCTCTGGTCTTTGTCCCCATCTCATGCACCATGTGGCCCTGAGGGCGTCGCACCTGTCTGAGTCTGCTGTAGGGTGTTCAGTCTACCTCAAGGTCACCATGGTAAGCTCTGTCCACGCGGAACCCTCCTTCCACGCCACACACTGGAATGTATCCCGCCCGCCCCGTGTCTCCTGTAATCACCACAAACTCCTAGTGCAAATTGGATGCTGCTTTAAATGTGAAAACAGTTGTTCAAAAGCTATAAAACCTGAATGAAAGCTAAAGCTGAATTTATAAGCCTTGTTGCATATGAGCCAAAAGTGCAAAAAGCTCTGTATAATGAACTAACCTGCCACTCGTATAAATAGAAATATATATAAATATATTAAAATCAGACTTCTACAAAATGGTGTATTTGTATTTTTGTGTACGTACAATTTTCTGCTAAGCAGAAGGAGGATGTAGTATAGGATGCTGTGAGAAGAGACTTGGTTTAATCCTATTTCTTTGTTACTTATTTTTGTTAACATCAGATGCCTGTCTCGTCTTCTGTGTATGACACTGTTTAGAAAGCTGCAGTATCTCTCTTCCTCGGGGCCACAGTCCAGAGAGAACCGAGTCTGGGCCTAACGGCCTTGTCTCAGCCACTCGGCCCGGCCGAAGCGGGGAGCAGGGACGCTGTGCCCCGAGGTGGCCCCCAGGGAGGGTGAGGGACACAGGCTGTCCCCGTCCTCGGCCAGACCCCAGCCTGGTCCCGAGCACCCCCGAACCCACTCTGCCGGTGCTAAACCCCGGGACGGCGGCTCTGAGCCAGGCAGCCCCACTTCCGGAAGCCGCCCAAGCAAGAGCGATACTGCAGCTGCGCCCCTAGGACTCGGATTCAACAGTGCGCGCGCGGCGACTGTAGCAGGAAGCCCTTGTTTCTGGGTGGCAGTGATCAGAGAAACAAGTGCTGTATGTATTAAAATAGTTCCAATGAGTCCTGTATCATTGTATCTCCTATTCTGGATTAGTGCCTTTTGGACAGTAGACTGTTCTGTAATTAAAATGTAGTATACTGCTTTTTTGTACAGTTTTGTTTTAATAAAACTTTTTTTTAATTTGTGTTTATTTTAGTATTGTACCTATTAGAGAATAAAATGTATAACTGAACCGAGGCTGCCTTGGATTTCTTTGGGTCTGAACATGCACTTTGGAAGGGCCCAGCACCACTTTTCAGCTGTGGAAAGGGTCTGGGCACCAAGCCCTGCCTTGGGGTAGGGGTGCTCAGGATGTCCGGCCTCCCCTCCCTGCCCCTGTTCTGCTCCCAGAGCCCCCCTGGAGCTTTCACCCAGACCGGTGAGGAAAGGAAAACCCAAGCTGATACCCGCTTTTCCTTAAAGGCTCCGGGCTCAGCTCCCTGAACTCTGTTCTCTCAGCTGTCCCTGCACATCAACAGCTCCGAAGCTCAATGGCTTCCCCTCCCTAGAGAGCCTGTGAAGTAAAGGGTCTCTTCTTCCCCTCGGTGCACACACAGACTATAGAATGGCTGCCAAGTGCAGGCAGCGAGGGGAGAACCAGCATGGCGTTGGGGGCAGAGTGGTCCCCACCCCACACTCTATGCCTTGGGCCCCGCACTGCTCTCGCTGTGTAAGCAGGAGCCTCTGACCGTCAGCCATAGCCATCTGTCCTCCCTTGGTCACTGACCAGGATGGACCACCTGGCGAGGCCAGGACAGGTGCAGATGCCCCCACACCGCACACGAGTGACCTGATGTCCACCGGGGATAGTTTTGGGGCCGAACAATTGTAAAAGCCCCAGAGCTTGATGCAGACAACAGATAATCCCACGGTGTTGCAAGAAAGCTGCAAACTGAAACAGGATTTCTCCTTGGAGCTAGCTAGGTCAGCTGCGTTCAGATTCCTGCCTCGTTCCCACTACAGCTGCTCCTGGCCGCTGTGTCCTGTCCCTGCTCGGCAGTGCCGAGTCGGAGAACTTTCCTGCGCTTGTGAATATAAACAAGTCCCGCAGGACCGGCCCTGGCTGACAGCCAGCTCCTCAGGTGGCTGCATCCCTACCTCATGAGACAAGGCCTGGATGACACACCGGAGAACGAGACCAGGGAGGCCCTTGCTGGCGCTGGCCTGTGTTCTGGGGTCCACGGCCAACGGCGGGACTGTGAGGCCTTCCCAGCCGAGGGGCCGCATCCTCCACCCTCCGTGCCTCGCGGACCTTGTCTGCAGGAGGTGGTCTCAGGTCCTGCTGTCCCCTAGGACCTGAGCCGGGCACTGCCAGCAGGCCACTGCACAACCCTTGTCCCCATCCCCGAAACACCCTGTCCCGGAACCTGTAGGCTCCTTACCTCCAGGGCAGCAGAAGAGATGCTGTGGCCCCCAGTCCGGTGCAGAGTGGGGTCTGTCACGCAGGCCGAGGGACTGCCAGAGAGCTGGGGAAAGGCCCTCCCTCCCCAAAGGCTCGCGTTACCTTGGCTCACACCTCCGAAGCCCATGGGCTTCCTGGCTTCTGTCGGGAGGATCTGTGAGAGAAGCTGGAGACCGGCCAAGTTGCCCGTGGGGTCCCCGGTGCTCTGGGTCCAGTCCTGATCAGCTCCACCCTGGGCTGAGGAGGGGTGCGTCCCAGGGGCCACTGTTCCCAACTTCCTCTTTCCAGTCTCCATCCGGAAGAGCCACTGCCATGGCCGAGAACAAGGCCATGATCAGGAACAGTCTGCAGGGAGCCCGAACCGTGTCCAGGCCAGGGACAGGAGTAACGAGCTAGAGCTGAGGCAAGAAATCATCTGATTTTATTTAGAAGCTGCTGGTCATTTGGTGGAAAGGCATATATGGTACAAAATTACAGAGGTTTAGTTCATTGTACAATACAAACCATGATGCCTTTACAACTCATTAGTCTCTGGATTTTTTTTACCTCCCACTTAAGTGTACCAAATCACTATAATCCCCGAATCAAAGCCACTTTCTTCACATGTGAACTCATTCTATTTACAAAATCCACACACAGAGAAGCTGTGCCCAGACTCTCCCAACACCATTCGTATCTGCAGCCACAAGGAAGGCACCGTGGTATCTGAGAAAGCTGCCCAGGCAGTGTTCGGGCCCAGGAGAGCATAACAGGTGACCCAGTGGTCCACGCCTTCTGGCTGAGGCCGGGGCTGGGGTGGTACGGGCTGGAGGAGCAGAGGCGGTGGTGCAGAGTCGTGCAGCTCAAGACCCCGCAGTGCCCACCAGCTCTAAGCAGCTGTCAGGGCAGTGACTCCTCCAGCTCCCTTTCCCCTGGAAGTCACCCTGATGGCCCACAGGGCACAGCATCCCTGCCCGTGCCTGGTGACTGGCGGGCTACTCACGCCACATCCTGGGCAGCCAGAGCCTGCCAAGTCCATCACTCGGAACGTGACGCCCCACGGCCTCTCACGTCCCAGACATGCCCTCTGCACAGCACTCAGGGCCTGCCCTTCCTCCAGGGAGCTGACGCAAGGGACAGGGGCTCACCACAAAATCTAAGCACCTCGGCCTGTGCTGCATGGGGTGGAACAAGCGGCAAGTCCCACAAAGCTGACAGCACTCACTCAGGGGAACACACCAGCCAGCTGTCCCCCAAGTGCCAGCTGCGCTCCCCACAGGGCGCCACACTGTCCCCACAGGATGGCAGCAGGGTCCTCCTGGCAGGTCTCTGGCCCAGACCCCTGGACTCTGGCTACAGAGCCTGGGAAACAGGAAGATGCTGTCTCCCTAGCCCGGGTCGTATGAGGGGAAAGGTAGGCAGCAGAGCTCCGCCGGCTAGCGATGCACCGCATCAGAGACACCAAGTACTGGGCCGCACTGCGGGGGCCCTGAGGCTCTGTGTTCCCAGGACCTGCTGTGGGGCCTAGCGTCCTTCCTGCCACTGGCTTCAGACCCAAGAGCCAGGGATTCCGCCACAAAAGCTTTTCAGGCAAGTTCAGGGGTGGAAGTGGGGGAACGAGAGACAGACTCTGAGGGTGCCTGGCTCCCATCCTGAGCTGGGGGCTGTGGTGGCCTGGGCCAGGATCTGTCCCATTCTACACCCTGACTGCCTTCCCCTGGAGTCACACACTTGCTGCTCCCTCCACAGCCACCTGCCAGGCCACAGTCAGAGCTCAGGAAGCAAGAAGTTAACGTGGCCAGCACCACTACTGCACCCAGCAAAGCAGAGACACCGCCTCACTTCCCCTGCAGGGTAGGCCACCTGCCCCGGCCTGCTTTCCTCAGAGTAAGGCCACTTGGGTGTCTGTAATAAAGGGGCTGATGAGGGCTGCATCCCAGCCTCCTCCAGGACCCACGTACCAGGCAGGAGGCTGCTGGCCAAGGATGGAGGACAGAGGCCTGGGAGGACATGAGGGACTTCAATTTGGGAAAATAAATATAAATAAATATGTTCCAAGCATCCTGTTAAGGGCATAAATGGTAACCAGGTTTAAAGATGCCAGGACACCCACAAAGATGAGGCACTTCAGGGAGCTGGCACTTGGGGCAGAGGACAGAATCCTTGCTGGGCACAGCAAGGACTGTTAGGGCCACGGTTTAAGACATTAGTGGGGTGACAGAGCAGAAAAAAGGCGGGCACCACAGAACCCCTGCAGGGACACCCCCGTCCCAGGCTGTGTGGCCCAAGGCCTCAGCCACTGTCCCGCAGCGCCTCTGGGCTTCCAGAACCTCCCCACCCCCAGCGAAGCTTCTGGAGTCCCAAAGAGCTGGGAAGTGGGCAGGTCACCAGCCCTGTGTCGTGCAAAAAGCATTCACGGCCCTGCTCTGGGACGGCCCCCATCAGTGTCCACCAGGCACCCGAGCTCAGCTGGCCCAGGACTTCCGGTTCTCCGCGTTCTTGTGGCTCCTGTCAGCCTTGGCCAGGGCGGCCGTCAGTGAGGCCAGGTTGGTAGCAGAGCCCGACAGTGTGGCGCTC